TTTATATTATTGAGCATGACAGGTGTTGTGTAATGTTTTGAAAATTTATGTGACACCCTTTTGTGAAATGCATGATAATTACTCTGATCTATTTATATTTATTGCGCGGGGTTAGAAGGGTGTTACATCAGACGCTGTCAAAAAATGTGCTTTTCCACATTTGAAGTCGAAAAGACATTTTTGGAGGGCAATTTGTTAGCTCCTAATTTCGACGCCCCGTTTAGAAGGAAGGAATTCAAGATGAAAAGCCAAGGGTAAGTTGAGAATGAAATATTGGTCGAAGGATGTAAAACAGCCAAAAGAAGAAGTCGAAGAACTCACCCAGAAGCTAGGAGTTCGACCGCTTGCTATTGTGGATGGTTCGTTGAAGGATTTGAAATTCAAAAGTTGGAGGGAACGATTTTGCTTGCTGAAAACTTAAGAAGACACGTGGCACCGTATGAGCAGTAAATCCATGCATTTGTGATAAGTGGCGAGAGGAGATGATGTTGGAAGTTATTAGAAGTTAGTTTTTACTACTATAAATAGGATGTCTTAGACATAGCCAAAGTGTGTTGTAATTTACTATTGTATAAATTACTCTTAAAATTACTCCAAGTATTCGAGTGTAGAGAAAGCGAGTATTATAGAGAATGTACGTGATGTAAACACACAATCTTTTAACTTAATGAAATTTACTTTGTTTTTACTTTAAACTTTACAATGTCTTTTATTGTCGTTACACCTTTCTTCCCTACTTTATTTTCTTCTTCCTATGCAATTCTTTTCTCTTCGTCCTCAATCTAACTTCACCTCTCTAAACAAACTTTCTTCTTTCTTTTATTGAAAGCTTTATTTTATCTTTTAATTTATTCCGTAGTCGAATAGATGTTTCTTTAGGATCCTTTCACTCCAATACTATTCCAGTGTGGAACTTGGATAGATTGTCAAAGTAAAAAGCCTTTAGCACATGTCCTAGGATCAATCTGATCGATCCTGTGAGTCACCAAAGTTAGATTTGGAAGATCAGCGGTTGTTTTCCGATTTTCAAGGAAAACACAAAGATGGTCTTGTTAGAAGTTGGTTTAGAAAATTTTGAGTAACCAAGACCACTTTTATCATTTGAATATATTTGATTACTAAGAACACATTCTAATCCAATCTGTCCTTTTTCATATCTTTCTAGGATCCTTTTTAATTGGACTATTTGAAAAGAGAGTGACTCATATTTAGTGCATGCAAAATTCTTAATTAATTTTTCTTTTTCATCTCTAAAATTGTTTTCCATTTTCTCAATATTTTCTTCCAAAGATGATATTTATTTCTTTTGAGATGAAATGGTTTTATATAGAATTTTGCACTCACTTAAAATTTCATCAATTGCTCCTTGAGCATCATTATCAAAAATAGAGAAATCACTACTAACCTTATTGTCTTCATCATCGGAATGATGTGATGCCATTAATGCGAGATTTGCGCTTTGATCACTATCGGAGTCCGATGAAGAACTTATTTCGTTGTCATCCCAAGCAATGTAGGCTTTCTTCTTGAAATCCTTCTTTCCTTTGTGGTCATGATTTTTTGTGAGTCTAGGATATTCTGGTTTGATGTGGCCTTTCTTCCCACATTCATAGCATGTAATGTTTCCATTTAATGTTGATGTTTCCTTTTCTTTATTTTTTGAGAACTTTCTTTCTTCTTGTATAAATTGAGTTTCTAACATTATTTTTTGCGCCAAAATATTTCCCAAGTCTTTTTACAAGAAGCGTAAAGTTTTCGTCTTCTTCAGGATCGTCTTCTTTCTCCACTTATTTGGACTCAACTTTTAAGGCAATGCTCTTGGATTTCTTCTCTTGAATCTCATGTTTCTCTAGTCGTCCAAGTTCTGTTTCATATTCTTGGAGTTTTCCGAATAACGTAGAAGACGTCATTGTTGATAGACTTTTCTTTTCGGAAATCGCCGTCACTTTTGGTTGTCATTCTCTTGATAAAGACCTAAGCACTTTAAGATTAAGTTCATCATTGGTTAGTGTCTTACCAAGTGCATTCAAGTGATTTGTCAATTGCACGAATCTTTTCTGCAAGTCTAAGATGGATTCTCCTGGTTGCATTCTAAATAGTTCATACTCTTGACTCAATGTATTTAATCTGGATCTTTTGAATTCGGCGGTTCCTTCGTGAGTTTCAACAAGAGTGTCCCATATTTGCTTAGCCGTTATACATGTTGAGATACAAAAGAATTCATCCATTCCAAGTGCACTTTGTAAAATATTTATCGCCTTTTTGTCATAGAGAACTTTCTTCTTATCATCATCATCCCATGATCCTTGCGGTTTTGATGAACTAACTCCGTTGACCACCGTTGTAGGAACAAAATGACCATTTTGAATAGCCTCCCATATTTCACTTCCCTGTGCTTCTAGATGTGCCTTCATGCAGATTTTCCAGAAGCCGAAATATTCGCCACAAAACAAAGGAGGCTTGTTGCTGCTGCCACCATCTTTGAATACAAGATTGTTATTTGCAGAATCCATCTAGATCGAATAGGAACATGTTACCTATAACCTGCTCTGATACTAATTGTAACTTGTAAAGCGCCTAAGAGTGGGGGGGGGGGGGGGGGGGGTGAATTAGGTTCTGAAAAATTATTTGCAATCTTTTATGGTTCCTTGGTTCTTTTTCCGGTTATGAGTTAATGGCTGAAAAGTAAAGGCAAGAAAGAAAAAGAGACACATGAAATTTATAGTGGTTCCCCTCACACTCCGAGGGTACTCCACTCTCCTTTCGACTCAAAAGAGATTTTCACTATAGTTTCAGAATTATTGCAAAGTCTAATCACACCAAAGGTGATGCCTACTATCTAAACTATATGTAATCCAAGTGTTAAAGAACAATCCTCTTCAAGACACTTCACTTGTTTCCAACAAACCTGGAAAACAAGGTAATACAAAAAAAAAGATCTTTGAGATAAGTTTGAAATCTTTGATAGAATGTTGTTATCAATCTTCACGATTGATCTTCTTCTTGAAACAAATGTTACTCAAACAAATATATAAGTGTTCTTGTGAGAGGAAGCTGTGATAGTGTGAAAGTTTTAATTGGCTGCACAATTCACCTTCAAGAAACAAAATCATTCAAATTACTCATTTTTTCTTCATCCTTCCAATTTTCATTTTAAGTGTTCGGAACCATTTTTAGAATCCTTCCAATTTAAATGGTTCTGAACACTTAAAATGAGAAAAAATGAGTAATTTTAAAAATGATAGCAATTTATACTAATTAAAAAACCTTTTCAAAAGGGTATGATTTTGTGCAGCCAAAAACAGTCAGAATTAAGAACGGTAATCAATGCACATTTTCATGAACAACTGCTATTTTTGCTTGCTGTTTCAGTGTTAATCAGTTAACCAAATGGGTTAATCGGTTAACACCTTACAACATTCAAAAATATTTAAATTTTACACATGTTAATCGGTTAACCATATAGGTTAATCGGTTAACACTGTAACAAAATTACAAAATAATTAATTTTGAAGTGTGTTAATCGGTTAACCAATGTGTTAATCGATTAACACTGAAGGATTTTCATAAAATAATTAATTTCCACAAGAGTGAGTATTTTAAAATAGTTTTAAAACAGTTTGTGGTATATGTGAAGTGAAAAGTGATTTTATGAACACTTGTATAAATATTTCTAAGTAATATTTGTTTATACCGTTGCTTTGAACATCATCATTACTTGAAGCTTATAATGGAAGCTTTGATCCATAGTAGTCATATGCAAGAGTACCATCTTGATCTTTGATGTCCTTGTTTGATCGCTCGATTCTCTTGCTTTTTGCATAGAATATCTTGCGTACAAAGCTTGTTCTAGTTGTCCTCATAAAAATATTAAAGACCTTGAAACTTGCTTCTACATAGATATGGTGCACTCAGACATGTCAGAGCTATTGTGAGTATGGATGTTAAACTGGACAAAGTGAGAGATGATGTTAAATCAGATGAAGTGAAATATGATGTTAAACCGGATGCTAGACTGGTTGTTGTCAAGGTAGATGTTTGTGAACAACTTACAAATAAACAAGAGTTTATTGTTCGTGAACATATGTTACAACAAGTTCGCGAACATATCCTACAACGAGTTTGCGAACATATGTTTGAAATACATATCCTCATCTTGCTTTTGTGTATTTCAAACCGTCCTCTTCAATTTAGAATCTTCGAGGACATACCTCTCATCGAACTGAAATCCAATCTGAATACCCTCCCATGATATTTAGAAAATTAGAGAGTTGTCAAGTTCGAGTATCGTTTACCCTCGGTTGACAATGAATGGAAGATATAGTTCACCAAACTTGAACTAAAGACGAACGAGGATTTAAAAGTTACATGGATTACATTTTATTGTTACTCAACAAAGGCTCTGATTGAAGTGGATGTGAAGATTGAAAAATCGACTGAAGATATTTTAAAGATGTTGCAACGTTCTGAACCATCCGTTTGTAATGAAATGTAATGTTAAATTTATGTTAATGATTATCTATAAAATATTCAGTATTTAAATATTAAATTTGTGTTGTTTTTCCAACATTATGCAATTATTTATGATTTGACATAACAAAATATAATTTTGAGATGCATCTCTGAAAAATTCATTAGATATTATATTAAAGGTCGTTTCGAAGATGTATCTCCGTACTCACCTTAATATTGATTCAGAAATGTATCTCAATTTTAACAAAATAAGGATGTCTCATTAATTTGGACCGACAAGTGTGTAACAAAGGTGGGTCCGAAATACATTTTCAACATTAAAGACACTTATAAATTTTCACCATGGTAAAGATGCACCCTTTGGAATTTAAAAAGTAACCCTTTTAAAAATAGAAAAACCCACCACAATTGAACCCGGTTCGATTGTGAAACCACTACAGAGAGTGTAGACAAGGGACGCAGCATACCTAAGCGCGTGCGTTGAAAGCGAAGAGAACAGAATAGAAAACAGAGAGAGAGAGAGAGCGATGGAAGGTTGGGACCCGAACACGAAGTCGACGCTAACACAGATCCCATTGTTAACAACAAAGGCCGGTCCACGCGACGGCGCGGCATGGACGGCGAGGCTGAAGGAAGAGTACAAGTCTCTCATCGCATACACTCAGATGAACAAATCCAACGACAACGATTGGTTTCGGATCTCCGCTTCCAATCCCGAAGGTACTCGCTGGACCGGTAAATGTTGGTATGTTTATAATCTTCTCAAGTATGAATTTGATCTTCAGTTCGATATTCCGGTTACTTACCCTTCCACCGCGCCGGAGCTTGAACTCCCTCAATTGGATGGAAAAACTCAGAAGGTTATTTTCTATTTTTCGATTGGAGTATTGATTAATTGATTAATTAATATTGTTTCAATTTGATAATTTTGTTGTTGTGATTTTGTTTTCAGATGTATAGAGGCGGAAAGATTTGTTTGACTGTGCACTTCAAGCCTCTCTGGGCCAAAAATTGGTATTTTTTTCTCCTTTAATATTGTTTGATATTAGGGTTTGGTGAGGGTTTGGACAATTGGGAATAAAACCTTGCTCTCTGAATACGAAATTGGTTTGAGTTGAATAAGATTAGGGTTTATTTGGACTTATCTAGCGTCATAAGTTGTTTTCAGCTCATTTCTATGATAGTTTTGTAGCTTATATGAAAATAATTTGACTTTATTTTAGTTTTTGTTGTAAAATTAACTTATACACAAGCACTTATATAGCAAATGTATATGTAGTAAGTGATTGGTTAGGGTTCGGAATATTGGGAATAGAACCTTGCTCTCTAAATATGAAATTGGTTTGAGACTTGAGTTGAATGAGGTGAGGGTTTATTTGGATTTGATTTATTTGAACTTATCTAGTGACACATAATCACCCGTGAGGATACGTGAGAGCTTATATAAACATCCTAAGACATGTTCTTAAGTTGTTTTTAGCTCATTTATATAAGCTCTCTTTGATAGCTGAAGTAAATAGTTTTGTACTAGCTTATATGGAAATAATTTGACTTTATTTTAGTTTTTGTTATTGAATTAGGGTCTGTTTGGATTAACTTATTTGAGTTTATCTATTGACAGAAGTTTTGTGTCACTGTTTGGGAGAGATTATCAAAACACCTTAATACATTTTTCATACATAGTTTTTAGCTTATTTTTATAAGTTCTCCAAGATAGTTTGTGAAAACAACTTAAAGCATATAAAAAATAACTTAAATTTATTTTATCTTTTGTTATAAAAATAGCTTATGCACGCATATTCACAAGCGCTTGTGTTATAAGCTGCAAATAAGCTGTTTGTCCAAACAGGCTCTTAACTTATACACAAGCACTTATATAGCAAATGTATATGTAGTCGGTGATGTATTAAGTTGTTCATAACATGTTCTAGTTTTAGGTTATCTGTGATGTTAACCTTGTTATGGAAGATTTTACAGCACTCTTTCAATGTTTTGCTGAATTCTAAGTACTGATATTTTTGTATCCTTCGCATTCTTTTGCAGCCCTAGATTCGGTATAGCACATGCACTTTGCTTGGGCCTTGCCCCGTGGCTTGCAGCGGAGATTCCCATTCTTGTGGATTCTGGTATGATCAAGCACAAAGATGATGCAACCACATCAACGGAATCTTAGTTATTCAATGTTTGATTAAAGCTGTAAAAGTAGAGCTTGTGTTTTAGAGTTATCAAATTTGTCAAAAGGGAAATAAAATGAGCTGTTTGACTGTGTTTTTACAGGATTTTTCTTGTAACTTACACATATTTATGTGCAGATGTTGAAGTCTTGAGATCCGGAGATGCTTTTATAAATTATTATATATATTATAGACACAACATCATGGATAATTATTAACTGGTGATTTTCATCTAAACCTGATATTCAATCAAGTGTTTGATTGAAAAAGATTCATTGTTTTTTATTGATAATAACGAGTTTATGTCGAATTGTGTTTAAAACTTCATCTGAACTGAAAGTGACGACAACATTTGCATAGACTATAGATATGGTGATAGTTTTACTGAAGTTTGGGTCAATTGTCCAAGTTTCACTTTTCTCATTCCATGACTAACATTATATGGTATATTTGGCATTCAGCATATTCGGGCTGGGCAGCAGATCGGGACAATTTGGGTTCGGGCCCAAAACCCCAAACTGGCCAATCTATCGGGTGGGATATTCTAATCCGTTTTTAACCGGATTGTAATTTTGGATTGCCGGGTTTGGATTATTAACTCGGTTATTTTTGGATTTTACAGATTTTGGCCAAACGAAAATTAATACATTTTTTTATTTGGACCAAGGATGGTCCAATTTTAAAAATGGCCAAAATGTCATTTTTTTTAAAGAAATGAGCCATATATTGGGCTTCTAAAACTTTAGAATTTAAATTGTTGGAATACATTTAAAATTACTATTAAAACTTATATTTTTCTTAAAACTAAAACAAATTCAATGACATTAATACAAACAAATTGTTTAACTAAATTAAAATTAATCCTTCTAAAGACCATATAAAATCTAAATTTGAATTAATCCTTTCAACATAAATTACATGTAGTAACACAACCAAAGCATCATTGTGAAACCAGTAAGTAACATTGAAGAACCTCTCATTGAAGAGGTTTCTATCATCATCATTTCCTGTGAATGCATGTTCATATATTCAAAATATCATTAGTTTCAAAGCAAAATCACATCCAAATACAAATTTGTTTAGATACTAGAGAATAAATATATGAACTTTTACATGGATCTACTCAACCATAAATGATTTTTCAACTTATTTTTTCATTCAAAATCTATTACTTTATCTTAGAACCAAGCACATCGAAACAACAACTAGAATATTGTTTTTCAAGGTAAAATTAAATCAAGATGGTGATATCATAAGAAATAATATCTTCCAAATCTAATATCATGCATATAGAAATAACAAATATATATATATATATATATATATATATATATATATATATATATATATATATATATATATATATATATATATATATATATATATATATATATATATATATATATATATATATATATATATATATATATATATATATATATATATATATATATATATATATATATATATATATATATATATATATATATATATATATATATATATATATATATATATATATATATATATATATATATATATATATATATATATATATATATATAAATATAAATGTAGAGATTTGATGTCTTCTTGAATGTTTGTTGTAGTAATGATATTATGCATATAGGAATAACAAATATATTATAAATGCTACTGTATAGATTTGATGCATTCTTGATTGCACCTAAATTCTCTTACTTGCATGAGAGAGGAAATAACTTACTTGCAATAGAAACAATTCTCTAGGCATCATTGCGTCTTCAGGATAATAGGAAACTCCGTCCAACTTAATGATTTCCAAAAACTAGCATGATTAAACTAAACATGATTATTCATTTAAACTTCATACCTGTTGTATCCAGCTAATTAAATGAGATATACTGCAAATATTTCCATGAAAAAACTCTTCTTTAATACATGAGGGTTAGGAAAAGACAAGACATAATCATAAACCAGCAACTAAAATGTAACCTCATTAAAATTTGAAGGAAATCATTCCTCTGACTTTGACTAAAACCAAGCACTCTTAGTGATTTTCCTTCGCCTTCCATTAAAGGAAAAGGGTATGTGTTATGTGCAGCTAGTAAATTATTTAACAATCAATAGGAGAGAAAAAAAAGTATGAATTTGCACAAACTCATCACTAAACAGCAAGGAAAAATAAATAGGATCCAATGATCATAACAAACAATTGAACCAACAAGAGAAAAAACGACAAGATGTAATTGGAAGCACAAACTCATAGTAGACCAGAACCAAAACAGTTCCCGTTGTAGACTAATGTAGACAAAGTGACATACCTGAAATTTTGTGCGGTTTCGTTTCCCTTTGCACAAGAAATTAAGCTCTTCAACTTTATGCTCTTGATATCTGTCTTTTAGCAATTTCAATTTCAAAGTTCTCATCTGCATCTAACATTAAAACCAACATTAGTTTTCACATACACATTTCTAGTCAAAGTGGATATCAAAAGATCAACATAAAAACAGAGATAAGAGGTACCTGAATATGTTCCACTTTTTTCAAAAAGTGTTTGGTTGGTTATACATGGATTTATCTAAAGTTTCTACATATTCTTTCAAAATGTGTTCGGTTGATTATACATGGATTAAAAGTACGAGTCACTCATAATTCTAAAAAATTCAAAAAGTGTCTGCTGCAAATATAAGGGAAAACATAAGAATACATGTTTTATTTAACAAAAACACATGAACAAAAATACAAGGGAACTGAACCTGAATATGTTTTTTACGCACATAACGAAGTCTGTGACTGAGTATGAGAAGAAGATGGTGCTCCACTTCCGGCTGAAGTTTGAGTAAATCCTAAAATATATTTAAAACATAATAAGAAATTATAAACATAATAAGAAAATCTTAACTTTAACATTTTACAAACAAAATAAAAAATTACACTTAAAGAAAAATAGTCGCAATACCTAGTAAAGCATATTCAGATATTTCATACTCCTCATTGAATTCCATGTCTTTGAATTGGTAAAAGACATGTCTCAACCAGTTCTGAATACAAATTAAAGCTTCGATCATTTCTGATTTGAGAGAGTTTCTGTATGCCTCTAAAACCCTCCCACTCGTGCTATATGCACTCTCAGAAGTCACAGTTGAAACTGGCATGGACATGATATCTCTAACTAATTGGGACAGAATAGGGTATTGACCAACATTATGTTTCCACCAACAAAGAATGTCGAACTTTTCTTTATTTTTTTCATTAAAAGTTAAACACTTTCCAGCAATATAACTCTGAAGCTCGGTTTCTTCTTCCACTGAATCATTAGACATCAAATGTTCCTGAAATGCATTTTCTCTAGCTATATATGTGGGTAATTCGTCACTGGCAACCGTTTCACCATGAGAAACAGCGGTTGCAACACATGTGACTGAGCCTCCAGCAATGTCATAGGCTTATTTGTAAAGATCGAACATCTTTGAAAGATTGTTATTGATATCTTTTAATACAGATTTCTTAGTGTCTGAATCTTTTCCATACACATCATCAAAGCACCATTCCACATATCTTAACTTATACCAGGGGTAAAAAATAATACCAAAATAAAGGAGCTTATTCATCTTAGTGATATCAACCCAGTGGGGCATTGATATGATCGATAAGATTGAACCGACCGCATCCAACGGACACCGCTTCATCTTAGTGGCAATTGATTATTTCGCTAAGTGGGTTGAAGCAACTTCTTTCGCTAATGTCACTAGACAGGTCGTGGCTCGATTCATCAAGAAGGACATCATCTGTCGTTACGGAGTGCCGAACGAATCATTACTGATAATGGTTCGAATTTGAATAACAAGATGATGAAGGAACTGTGCCAGAGTTTTAAAATCGAGCATCACAATTCTTCTCCCTATCGTCCGAAGATGAATGATGCTGTTGAAGCGACCAATAAGAACATAAAGAAGATTGTGCAGAAGATGGTTGTGACCTACAAAGATTGGCACGAGATATTACCCATTGCATTGCACGAATATCGTACTTCAGTACGTACTTCAACTGGGGCAACCCCTTTCTCGCTAGTGTATGGTATGGAAGCTGTCATACCATTAGAAGTCGAGATTCCTTCCTTGAGGGTTCTGGTTGACGTCAAATTAGATGAGGCATAATGGGTGAGGAATAGATTGAATCAACTCATCTTGATGGACGAGAAGAGGTTGGCATCCATTGCATATGACCGTTTGTATGAAAGCAGAATGAAGAAAGCTTTTGATCAGAAGGTGCACCCACATAGCTTTTAGGCAGGTGACTTAGTGTTGAAGCGGATTCTCCCTCCACAGACAGATCACAGAGGCAAATGGACTCCCAAATACGAAGGTCCATACGTGGTAAGGAAAGTTTTCTCCGGAGGAGCCTTGCTACTCTCAATCATGGATGACGAAGATTCCACATCCCCTGTGAACGCAGATGCAGTTAAAAAAATACTTTGCTTAAAAGAGACCCGCTGGAGTAAAAAAAAAGGGAAAATCCAGGAAAAAATGAGGCATCCCGGCGAACCATAAAAATAATGGGTTTGGAAAAAAATTAGGGATAAAAAGAAAAAGAATGTAAACCCGCAAAGTTGAAAATCCGAAAAGGCGACTTTGGCAAAAATAGGTATCCCGGTGAATCGAAAACCCGCAAGGGCGATTCAGGCAAAAGTTAGGGATTCAAAAAGCAAATGACCACGGTCTGTGTATTGATCTTTTGAGCACAGTGGATTCTGGGAGAACCCGAGGGTCAATCAATCAAGTCAGTCTCTTCGGAAGATGAATCATCAGGAGAAAGCATCAAAGTCATGCAAGTCATAGTCGAATCGACACATGGTGGTTGCCTGTACCACATTGCCGATATTTGTGTATATCTTTTGCATTTCTGTACTTTTTGCGCAACGATCTCTTTTCAGGAGTTGCCTTTGTTGTAAATCTTGCCTATTTACAGACCATTTATCAATGAAGTTTACTATTCAGAAAGCCTTTATTCTTGTTTTAACTTTTACTATTTTGTTTGCAAAAGACGCCTGATGTTTTGATAAAACTTTGCATACATAAACTTGCGGGCTCTGCTAATCATGATTAAAACATTGATTTGCTTGAACGATGTCATGAACGATAACCGAGATAGATCTTGTTGTATACAGGATACTTTGTTTGTATTTGTTGCAGGGCTCTCGTTCTTGAGGCTATTCCAGAGATGCATCCCCAATAAGGTCACCATGTCTTTATCCCCACAAGAGGAAGATGTGCGGTCTGAGACTAGTGCCTCCCCAGTAGGTTGGGTTTATACATGTGGTCAAAGGTTATCTCCAGCAGGTCGAGATTGATACCTCCGGCGGAGTAAGGCAATCCTCAGCAGGTGGAGCTTGTACACCTATCCTCAGCAATCCAAATGCATATATCTTATCCCTTAGCATGTGAATTTGGGATTATTCCCCCAACAGTGGGACGGGTGCAGTGTTATTGCCCCCAAAGAATCTAAATCTTTGACTCCTTTCCCCTCAGAGTCTAGGTCATTGACTCATTCCCAAGCGGAGGTGGATATTGTTGAATTTTATTTCTCATTTTTCCCCAAGCAGAGGTCGATGTTGATTCCCTCATTGCCTAATCCCCAGTGAAGTCGGCGGAGTAGTTTTCTTCCCTGCAGAGTGGGATTGACCTAGAGAACTGTCATTATCCATCCTCAGCAGATAAAGTTTGGGATAATTCCCCAGTAAATATTATTCATCATCCCTAGCTAATAGCAAATTCAATCTTCAGCAGAGCGGAATCTCTGGCAGAGTGGAGTTTATCCCCATCAGTTTGCTTTATACCTTAGAAGATTTTTAGCGCTCTAGGAGGCCATCCAGGGCTGATTTCCCCAGTAGAGTGGATTTTTTCTCCCCATCCAAGTCATTTGTTCTCCAGAAGAGTTGTATTCTGGTAGGCCATCCAGGGTTGTTTTCCTCAGCAGAGTTTGATTTGATCCCCAACAGAGTGGATTTTGTTCTCAACGGAGCTGTTGCATCCAGGAAATTCCTTTTCTAAGAAGCCATCCAAGGCTTGTTCTTCCCAGCAAAAGTCTAATTGTACTTGGCACGTCTCGTCTTTCTCCAGCGAAGTTTGTTTCCTCTCTTCAGCATTTATTTTTGCTGGAGTGTTTTCTTTCCATTTGCATCATGCATATCATCCTCAAACGCGTAGCATTTCCATTTCGCATGGAGCATTACACCATTCTCAAACATGAGCATTCGAAACATAAGCCAGGTTGTTACCTCTTGTTTTCAGGTGTATCTCCAGCAGACCGGTTTATTTCCTTAGCCCGTGCACTATCTAGACCCCGACTTCCACCGGTTTATTTCTTTAGCCCGTGCGGTATCCAGACCCCGGCTTTCACCAGTTCTATTAGCTCAAGCCCGTGCGGTATCCATACCCCGACTTCCACCGGTTTATCTTTAGCCCGTGCGGTATCTAGACCCCGGCTTTCACCGGTTCTATTGGCTCAAGCCTGTGCGATATCCAGACCCCGACAGATTGTGATGTGTTCTTTAGCCCGTGCGGTATCTAGACCCCGACTTTCACCAGTTCTATTGGCTCAAGCCCGTGAGGTATCCATACCCCGGCTTCCACCGGTTTGTTTCTTTAGCCTGTGCGGTATCCAAACCCAAGCTTTCACCGGTTCTATTGGCTCAAGCCCGTGCGGTATCCAGACCTCGGCTTCCACCGGTTTATCTTTTTGCCTGTGTGGTATCCAGACCCCGACTTTCACCGGTTCTATTGGCTCAAGCCCGTGCAATATTCAGACCCCGGCTTCCATCGGTTTATCTTTTTGCCTGTGTGGTATCCAGACCCCGGAAGATTGTGATGTGTTCTTTAGCCCTTGCGGTATCTAGACCCCGACTTTCACCGATTCTATTGGCTCAAGCCCTTGCAGTATCCAGACCCCGACAGATTGGCATGTTCTTGACATATGCGTTCATCCTGTCACATTTCCCCAATAGAGTTATCAGTTACAATTATCAATTTCAGTTTTTTCTTGGGGTTGGCAAATTTCCGAGTTCTTTGGTATTCAACCGTCTTTAACCTTGAATGTTTGAAAGTTGTTCACTTTTCGCTCCTTCAGGTCCAAGTCGTTTGAATAGGGGCAACAGTTGTACCCCAAGATTTGACCAACCATTTTCTTATACTTGGCTTATGTTTCATTTTATTTTTTAGCATTTGAATTTGCATAACATTGTTCTTAGCAGGGGATCAAGAGTTGTTGTGCCATTAAAGAGGAGGGTCTTATTGGCTTCAAGCTCAAGCAAAAGTATTTGTGCAAGCCATCAAGTGTTTATCATCACCATGGGAGGTTCAAAGCTCTTTGAAAGGAGAGATTGGTGTGTGGATGTTATCTCCTATCTTGGGGATCATTAGAGGATCATCAGGGATTCATGAGGTATTTATCTTGGAGAAGGCATGTTCTACAAGCTCATTGATTACCCTAGGGGTCATTGTGGAGTTTGTTTGGTCATTCAATTCATCTGTAAAGAGGCACAGTCAAAAGATATGGAACTAGGGTTTCATCTGGTCAACTCAAGGTCAACTGTGGACTTGAGAAGGTTCAAGACTTCATTCTAAGTCACTTGAGTCATGGTAAGTCATCTCAAAGCATTTAGTATGTCAGGTTAAGATCAAATTAAGAGGAATCAAGGGTTCAAGAAGTTACTAAATTAGGGTTTCAGAGGTTTTCAGTGTAAAATCCCCTTCTTTGGTGCCCAACTCCAAGGACAATTTACCCTATGATGTAAGCTTAATCTCATTTTCATGAAAACATGAGACTTGTAGAGCATCCTTCAAGATTTCTTTTGAGTACAATAACTCATCCATTGAGTTTGTACATCTCAAGTTATGATTTCAACAAGTTAGGGTCCTCAAATGAATAGAATTTTGCTCAACTAAAAGTCAACCCACTTCCAAGGCATTTTTGACCTAGAATCAAGTTTCTCCTCAAATTCAAGTGAACATGAAAGATTTTCCTCATGATCTTAGCTTTCCAAAAAGTCCTAGAAGTCCCCTTTATCATTTATACATATCAAGGTATGGACCTCACAAGGCAAGGGCATTTTTGAAAAGTTCATTATAGGTCATTTGTTTCAATGGTCTTTTTCATGAACTTATGGACCTCTAATGCATTTCCAGCCAACATGAAACTTATTCCTAATTGTCTTAACTCCACATTGAACTTAAAATTCATGAGGATTGTTGAATTATGTGGCCATATGGAGCATTTTCAAAGGGAAATTTTGGTTATTGGCCATGGTTTGAATACCTTACATTAT